CTGCAGGTTGAGAATTAGACACTGAATTTCCAGGAAGTTCAGAAATAGCTGCAGTATCAGGAAGTTGAGATCCAGTAGAATTTAAAACACCTGATGTAGTGTGGACAGTACATTCGAGAGCTGGAAAATCCAATACATCCAAAACACTGGAACTGCTATCCAAAATCATACTAGAAAATCCATGTTTTAAAACATCTGAGTAAAGTGGCTTAGGAGGTGGATCCAAAAAATTTACACTAGTGCCAAGTGAATATTCAAGAAGTGGAAAATCTGATAAACTCGGAATACTGGGATTAGTATTCAAAACAGAGCTAGTAAAACAATCATGCTTTAAAACATCTGAATAAAGCGGTTTAGAAGAAGAAACATGGCACAAAAAATCTCTAGAATTACAAACCCGAACACTGGAAACTAAAGAACGTTTCACAACATCTGAAAAGAGTGGTTTGGAAACAGAAGCACCAAGATTACTACCCAAATGAGTACTCAGAACAGAAGGAATACTGGTTAATGCTGGGAAACTGCTAAGGGATGTAGAACAAAATGGTGCACTTACCTCTGCAACAGTCAAACTTATCCTGATATCTTTTACAAAAATTTTCCCCAGCTGCTGATTACCTCTCCGATTTAGGTGTAAACCGTCTCTGGATAAACAAGTACTCCAAGAATAGTCAAAAGAGCTGCAAAAGAAAAACCCATCTTTACCTTCGTATGTTGCGAGAAAATCTTGAATTTATGTTTAGTATCTTCCTATTAAGTTCTTGTAGGTGATACGTGTTACAATCTCGATATAAATCCGGGCATCGTGGGAGAACACCTGAAAACAGAATGACCTTCGGGTTTAATCGTTCAATTCCCTTATATAGACAACCATATTTACGATGAATTTCATCTAAATCGTCATTTGAATTATTGGTACCAACGTGGACGAAAACTAAATGAAAATGGTTGTTCATAAAGGCGATCTCACGTGTCAACCTTTCAATCCTAGCTCCTGGAAAGCAACGAAAATCAACTTCGTAATCAGGTAAATTCGCAGACAAATATTCTTGTAAATATTTAATTATAGAATTCCCGATTATGAGTATTTTCATCTTTTCAGATTGCTTAGACTAGACTTCAGATTACTTAAACACATAACTAAAATAAGATAATTAAAACTCAAAATATCAGCGCTAATACTACGTACCTTGCTTCCCCCACAGCAGCACGTGCAAGCAAAATGGCGCGAAAACGTGTATTGCTTACTTCGAAAAATTACATTTGGCTTCATTTTTCAATTTTGGCGCAAATTACGGTAACCTCTTAGTGTTGCCATCGGTCACGTGAGACCCGCTAACTTCCGTAAACTCTCAGCGTTTGTCGTCGCATATATCTGCAAACCTCTTTTTTTCTATAAACTTGCCATTTCCGTTTTAACATTGAGTTGTAAATCAAATTCGTTAGTTTTCAAAATAAACATTAAACAAATTCAATTGGGATTCAGATGCCCATATTCGCAGAGGATTCGTCATTCAAATTCGATGGCTCTATGTACCTTGTTATCACAATGCGAGAATAGACATCATTTATGCAGATTTTTCATTATTTAATTTCTTCAAATATAATGCAGGACTCTAACATTTTGTGGCAACAGTTTGAAAAGTGAACCGACGTTTATGAGTCCGACGCAAAATGCCAAAACGATAGCAATAGTCCTTCGGGACTGAAATCCCTTTGGACTAAAAATGTGTTTTCAAATGCTTCAGTGTATCGTTAACCGACTCTGCTTAAATTTTGTCTCTCCGATTGGTTCACGTGGCCATAAGGCCAATTTTAATATTTCCACAAATTTACAAGTTTCGAGACTTTTATCTACTTTTACTGTGTTTTAAATTCAAGAAGTGCTTCTTATTAGTTACTCTTTCACGTATTAATTTGTTATCAATGGTTATAGACTCTAATGAATTGCAAAAAATGAATTACTACTTTTGTATGTTCTGCCAATCCGATTGCGACTTTCAGTCACATGTACATTAGCTACTCTCACGTATCCATGCTCATTCTCTTAGCCGACGAAGTTCCTCGGTATGATAAACTGCTCTAGCACCTACTCAAAATTTCGCAACCATTTATAGCTTACTTTACTGTGATTTAATTCATATATAAAGAATATCTCCCCCGTAGGACTTGCCACCTCGACATTTTCGCCTGCGGGTGCGGTGCTAAGGCACTCTAACTGATTTTAATTAAAAGGGAGCGGTCACCGGCCTTAGTTGAATTATAGGCAAAAACTCTCAAGTAGTTGAAACCTAGAATATGAAAAGGATGATCTATGCTCGTCTGTCTACGAGCTGTCTACGAATGACTACTGTTGTTTGTTTGGGTATAACATCATCTCCTCCGGAACGCTGGGTCCCTGGCTCAGCGAAGCACACCGTTGGTTTCGTCACGTCCGTGGCAAGCCATTTTGACTATTGGCGTGTTCGTGCGACTTTAATTAGCCGAGATATTAACTAATCAGTAGGCATTAGAGAGTTGACGACAGAAACTATACCAATTACCACCACCATACTATGTGTCGACGCTCGAAAACAAAATGGAGCTAGATGTCAAGCATGGTGATGCTGTTTTCGAAAATATGTCTCTGCGCAACTAATCGGACATTTACCATCCTTGCTGTAGAATGGCTAATCAAATGTTCTCCATCAAGGCTGCTTTCAGAGCATTACTGAACCACGGAAAATGGATTTGAGATTTACATAGGTAATGATATTTTTTAAATACCGCAGCAAGCATACATTAGGTTTTCTGATATTAAACTGGTATCTTTGCAACAAATTTAATTAGACTTTATCAGTAAATAATCAGTTCAATAAATGAAAATAAAAAATAGGGGATCTTTTCCAGTAAAAGATAACACATGCAAAGCTTTTTTTTTTTTTTTCCCTAAAATGTACCAATTTGAAACTTAATAGCGAGAAAATATCATCTCATTATAACTGTGATAAAATTTTCTGAACATAAGAAATTCATTTTCATATTTTTTTTAGTTAAAAATGCTGCATTTATTGGTTAGAAGTTAGTTCAAACAGGACAAAATTAAAGATGGATTGAATTAGTTTGAATATATTTCTTACTGTTTTTTACTCTTTATATTTAATTATGAATAATGTAAAGAGAGTTCAGCATGACCAAGTATTCGGAATACATAACTGAGTTATATTTTAAAATCTTGTCAAATCAATTTGAAACATAATTCAGTTCTTCTCGAACAACAAAGATATGGAAATTTTTCACGGAAAACGATAAAAATATCAAAATCAAAATTGACATGTGATTTGTAAAAAAGAAAACTCATTATGACAGTAAAGAAAATTTACTGACTGAAGCAATATATTTCTATTAGCTTCATTAAGATTTCGCCAGTTTACATCAAGCTGTGTATCTAAGCATTTTACAAAATGAATTCTAAGAACATATAGTGAACCTGAGTTTCAGAAAGCAGCGCATCCTTTTACTCTGTATCACGGGAAGAACTTTAAAACAAAAAGACGAAAGTGAAAGTCATTTGGCCGCGCCGCCATCAGTCGACGAAAAAGGTGAGTTTATGGTCGAAGGTCCAAATCAGTGAACTGAAAAATCTAGTATAAGTAAAAAATGTTAAGGATGGGGAATGTCAGATGGATATTTGTGCTTTTCTCTGGGAAATGGAGAATATCTAAGAGAGCTGAAGCAGTTGGTAGGATGAGTGAGAACTGAATAGAAGAAATTTCTGGTAAGGTTTTGAATATAACCTTGAATTGTATCTACTTTGAGATCACAATGGGTATACGAATTTGGAGTGAACCATGGCGTTTTGATAATCTCTCTGAATGCTGTGTTTTGAAGAATTTGGATGTGTTGAAGGTGAGGTTTGGCAGCGTGGACCGAGCAACAAGATAGATACTGTTATATGAAGTCGTTGGGCCCAAGACAGGACTAGCATAGAGTAATGCTGGTCGAAGTGTAGATTTATATAAGAAAATGAGAGACGCGAAGAACCTATTCTAATTAAATTTAACATATATACAGTTAGTATTATTACTAGCAATAAGGGGGGGGACTGAAAAATATCTTCAAATTAATCATTCATAAAAAGTGCTGCAAGCCTTATAGCACGTAAGCTGTAAATTAATTTTATTATTTATTAATTGATATGCCTATCTAACGAAGAAAATTATTTTTCGAACGTTGACAATAACGCAATCTATCGCATGGAAACATAAACATTTGTTAGAGCGTTAGGAAGCTTAGCCGCCTGGCGACTCGAAAATGTTTACATTTGGAATCGCTCATATCCAACAGCAGCTCCATTTACTGATCACGACATTTTTGAACCCGTTTGAAAGCTTTTGACAGGGTATGGCATCGAGGCCTTATTTACAAACTAATCACTCTCCCTCTTTTCTCAGCGACAGAACATTCAGAATCAAAATCGGTACTGCTTACTCAAACACCAGATTAATCAAAGCTGGTGTCCCACAAGGGTCGGCAATTTCGCCGTACCTTTCTAATATTTATACACAAGACATCCCTAAAGACCCTTCTGTTCATCTTGCGCTCTTTGACGATGACACCGCCATACTTACTAAAGCCTGCACAGTTATCGCCGTAAGAAACCAACTCCAAAACTATCTCATAAAACTGGAAAAATGGCTCCCCCCTTTGGAGGATTAAAATTAACACTGGTAAAACCAAGGCAATAATTTTCCGTAAGGGAAACATGAAATACTATCCTCCACCCCCTGAAATATTTGACGAAGAAATAGACTGGATTACTGAAATTTTAACGACGGTCGTTGACATTTGCTATTAGAGTTAGTGTAATTTTATTTAAGAATATGTTTCATAATCTTATCCGTAGCATGTCTGTACTAAGACTAATATAAAGGGCTACATCTCTAGTAACTATAGTCCGTACGTTGTATGGCGGCCAAGTCGTGATATCATATTGTTGACATTGTTTCGCTTCATTTTTATGATGTCATAAGTACTCATTAAATTCTAACCTATTTTATTGAAACTGAACAAGTAAGTATGCTCAATTTGGCAACACAACAACTTCATACTTCTGGTGGCGCTAAAGACCAAAATCAAATTGTAAGACTACGCTACAAATTTTTATATAGATAGAATTAAATACTTTGTAAGTGATTTTTAAAGTTCCGTAACTCGAAATCTTTTTTTTTTTTAACTTGAAAAATAATTTTGAGGAGTTCTTCTCATGAGTACTGTTTATCATGTATTACGAATTCGTTATAAAAGAATGTGTCAAAGTTCTGAACTGATTATATTCAATTTAAATGTATTTAGTCTTTTAGAAACAATCTATGAAATTTCATACAATAAGAGAATTATTACTATTATTTTTAGTCCTTTCGTCCTAAGAATTAGTTTCGACTAATAAATTATTTTTAATAATACAAAAGTGTGTTATTTTTGTGTAAAGTACTTTGAGAATAAAATGTATTTATGTACAATTGTAGTTCTGAAGCTGATATCTGTGCTACTGAGTACTATCCGAAAGCAAATTAAATGAAGAAATGGCTTCTGTCGAACATTCTACTCATAAAAGTTTGAAGCAAAATAAAACTGCTTTCAAGCGTTCTCCACTTGTAAGTACCATATAAATATTCTCTACTATTCCCTAATGATGTACACCAAGCCTATGATTTGATACGATTTTTAAATGCAAATCGAAACTTTGATATAAATATTTATTCAGCGATACCGAAGCGTCGTTTTTTCAAGTACTTTTTCAAGTGTATAATTCCAAGATTTAAGAATTTTGAAACTTCTACCATTATTATATTATGTATAATTACGCCATATTAATTAATGATATAAAAGAGGGAAGTGGACTTTTTTCTTAAAATAAGCATGGAGTCATATTTATTAAGATTATTTAGAAAATAAAACATAGAAAAAAAATTAAGGAAGAGCTATAATCTGTTCTTTGGCTATATATTTTGAAATGCAGTGTCTCACAAAAGTGATGGGACACTTGTGCTTTACAAAAGGAAACTGTAATAAAATAAATTTTTAAAAAAATGTAAAAATTTTTGTGGGTGTGTTTCATACTTAAATTTAGTAACAATTATTACATAACATACATTTTCTCAAAATATTAATTTAATAAAAATAAAATTGTTTAAAACGGAGTAAAAAATGGTTCACATAAGTGATGGGACACCATTAGATACTACTACGTACTACAATAAGAATATTTTTTGGGTTTTTTATTTTTACTCAAAAGCAATTCGCAATAATTTATAAAATCGTCTGCAGTATTTCTCTCCATTTTGTTTTGGAATTTTTGTGTTTTTTAGCTCTGTGCAGCTATGAATGCTAAACGAAAAGAAAACTTTGCCTGAAATTCGAAAATTAGTTATTAATTTGCATATTGAACGTGGAAAATCTATTAGAGAAACTTCTGAAACCAGTTAACTTGAGTCATTCAACAGTTTACAATATCATTAAACGATATAAAAAGAATCATATGATTCAGGATAAAAGAAGATCTGGCCGAACATCAAAGCTATCCAATGGAATAAAGCGAATTATCGTTCGAAATATTAAAAAAAATCCAAGAATGAGTGCTCCTAAAGTTGCTGCTGATTTACAAGCATTATATGGAGTAATTGTTAACCCATTAGCTGCTGGTGTTGCGTTGACGCAACGGTCAAAATAAATGCGTATATAAATATAACTACCTAAGATATTTTATACCAGCAGATGATTTTGTGTAGGGAATATTATGAAGATTATTTCTGTAAAAAAATATTTGCCTTCAACAATCATTTCGTTTATAATAATTAATCTCGTACTTAAAGCAAAATTTAAGCAAAATTTTCGACCGAGTATTTTTGCTGAAAATATTTAACGAAAGAATCGCCGTCTTTATGAGTGATCTATTTTTTAGTCAAGGTCACCGTTTATCAGAACTTTACATCAGTCAGATGTTTATATTTGTGTTGAGTAAAAAGGCAAAACAGGTGTTGCATTGACGCAACGTCAGCAGGAAACGGGTAGTCAATCTCCTTTTTCACTCATTCCTTTCGATGTTCTGGTTGTTTAAAAATGCCTAGAACGAGGTATCTTACATTAGAAGAAGCCATTAAAAGATTTTTTGATGAAAAAATAGATGATGATAATGTTAATAATGACCAGAATGCAACTGATATTGTTGTTTCCCTAGAAATTGCAGAGGCTGGTGATGAAGCAGAAAGGAATGGCAATGTTTTAAATAACGATAATGATATTTTACCAAATGATACTGCTGGGGAAGTTGAAATTCACGTAAGAAGTAAGTTTCAGCCTTCTAAAAGCAGTTATAGTCATACTAAAATGTTTAAAAATCAGAAGACTGAAATCTTGAAGTGGATAAAAAAGGAAGTGTTAGTTATGTCTCAGGAAGAACATGAAGAAAGAGATAGAACAGAAATTATAAAAGACAAAACGCAAGGTAAAACTAGTGCACAGATTTTCGATTTTCTTTTTGGTTTTTTAGACATTTACTCTCTTCTTGTTGAACAGACAAATATGTACGCTTAGCAAAAAAAAAAAAAAAAAAAAAAAAAAAAAAAAAAAAAAGCAGAATTTATTGCATCTGAAGCATGTATGAGAAGATTTATTGGAATATTATTGCTTACAGGATATCATTCTTTACCTCAAGAAAAAATATATTGGTGTTTTGATAAGGACATTTCTATTCCTATTGTACGAGAATTGATACCACGTTTGCAGTACAGGAATATGAAGCAGAATTTGCATTTTAGTCAAATTGACAATACTGATAAATTATATGAGGTGAGACCGTATCTAAACTTACTAAATATCACCACTTTTTACTACTGGAAATATACTCTTTTAGATTTCGGACGCGAGAATGCATTATTCCTTTTGCAAGCTGCTATTGAGAGTGTAGAATTAGCCAGAAATGGATCAGCAACAGGAAGATCTAGTAAATTCAGCATTCAAAAACCATTGCATGGAGATGGTAGACATTTTATTGTAAAGTCTGTTGGTATAACAAGAGACTTTGTTGTAAAGAGTACCATAGCTAGACTGTTTATAGATGCAAAGTATGTAATGTAGCTTTACATCATGATTATGGTGAATCATGCTTTTCATGCTTGAATCTTTCAAATGAAATAATCTGCATTTGGTAAAAGAAATACAATGTATATTTTAATATTAAATTAATTACAAGTAAAAGTGATTTGTTAGATTTATAAAACGCTGTACAGTTAAAAAGTAATCCTGCGCTCCACTCAAAAGAAACATCACACGAGTACAATCCTACTCACTAAACATCCGTAGTCTTTTTCCGCTGACGTTGCGCAAACGCAACACTTGCTTTTTCCACAGTTAAGAGCATTTTTTTAAATTTTCAATGTAAATTTATGTTATAAATGCTTAATTTAATATTTGTTATTATTTTCAAAAGAAAAGAAACATTCCTTGTAGTTTTGGCGGTTAATGGGTTAATCCTGAGACTATTAGAAGAGTAATTCGATCTGCTGGATATTACGGTAGAGCAGTCAGGAAAAAAATTCTTCGTAAGTGAAAAGAATAGAAAACTCAGACTGGCTTTCGCAAAATCCAACATAAATAAGAATTCTGATTACTGGAATGAAGCTATGTTTGCTGATGAGAGTAAATTTAATATATTTGGTTCTTACGGTAGAATCTTGGTGTGGAGAAAACCCAGGGAAGAATTTCACAAACAGAACTTGGTGCCAACAGTAAAACATGGTGGAGGTGGAGTTATGGTATGGGGTGTATGTTGTCCACTGGAGTTGGTAATCTTTATTGACAGTTTTTATTGACATTTATTTAGATTTAATATTTATGATTTTATTGACATCTAAGTCAGGACAAGTATATTGACGTTTTAAATCAAAATTTTGTATCTTCAGCACGAAAATTGAACCTTCATAACGATTTTAAATTCTACCAGGACAATGACCCCAAGCACACTGCTTTGAACATTAGACTCTGGCTGCTGTATAACTGTCCTGAAATAATAAAAATACCACCACAATCTCCAGACTTAAATCCCATACAGAATATTTGGCAAGAATTGGAATCAAGAATTCGCAAACACACCATTTTTTCAAAACAACAATTAAAATCGGTGCTTCAAGAAGAATAGGGTAAAATCACTCCAGAAATTACAAAAAAATTAGTCGAATCCATCCCAAGAAGATTAAATCATGTTTTAAAAGTAAAAGGAAATCCAACAAAATATTAAAACCTTTTAAAAACTAAAATTTTTGAATAAATTTTTGATAGAAAGTAAGTTTCCCATCGCTTATGTGAGCCATTTTTTGCTCCGTCTTAAACAATTGTATTTTTATTAAATTAATATTTTAATATTTTGAGAAAATATATGTTATATAATAATTGTTACTAAATTTAAGTATGAAACACTCCCACAAAAAATTTTTACATGTTTTTTAAATTTATTTTACTATAGTTTCCTTTTGTAAAGCACAAGTGTTTCATCACTTTTGTGAGACACTGTATATTATATTTTAAAAAAGGATTATCTGATACACACAGAATTAATGTGATATTATCAATTAGTTTGAAGAATTTTGAATTATTGCTGCATTAAGAGGACATAATTTTCAATTTTGGGCTAAAAAAATAAAGAAGACTGAGATGATTCCTAAAATGTATAATTTTACCGTGTTTCAAAGTTTTAAAAGATCAAAATCTTCAATTAAAAAATATAAACAAGCACTGGCATGCCCACCAGTTTAAAAAAGACGGATCTCTTGTGTAGCTACAATGAAGCCTTATCAGCTCATAAAAAATATGCCCATAAACATTCTTTGCTGGAATCTGTTTTATTAGCTGTTAAAAGCATGTTTAAAAATCTCTGCTGTCAAAGTGCATTCATGAAAGAACTCGAAACCCAAATGAAAGTTTTAATAATTGCATCTTTCATGTGATGAGACATGCATAGTCTCATCACATTAAAATTAGGTTTGTTAGATTCAGTAATGTATTTTACTGATGGTGTACAAAGTGACAACAAAGGAATGAAACTGTTAGGAATGGAACCAGGATTTTATATTATAAAGTCTTTCTAAAAAATAGATTGTCACAGAATTCATGCGGCCCATCTCGCTTCCAAAAGCTATCTAAAATAGCTAGAAAGGAAAATAAGTCTATAAAACAAGAACAGTTTGAAACAGAAATGTCAGTTTAAGATGATTATGGTGCAGGAAAATATTAAAATTGTTTTTTTTTATAAATTATTAATGTTTAAATAATTTTCAGTTTTTCTCAAAATGTTTTATAACTTTTGGTACATTTTCTTGAAAACTGTTCAACCTGGAGGATTTAAATTTTCCACAGTTGTCAATCTTAATAATTTCTTTGGAACTGTGTCGAATATAAAATTTACAATCAGTATTAAATGTTCTAAAAATTTCATATTTTTTTATGGTTTTCGAAACATTTCACTAATTTATTTTTAATATCTTTTCTTTTTAAGTAAAGTGTTGCTTATATTACAAATAATATTTTTATAATTCTTGTACAACATTTCAAGAAATTTAGTGCAGTATTTTTTAAGAAAAGTGAACCAAACTAGCTCACT